CTCCCGGCTGATGGCTGGTATCCGTCGCAGTCCCCCAAAATGCGTTTCGGGGAGGAAAGGGGGGGAACAGAGCGGTCCCGTTTTGTCTGTTCGTTGGCATCTCGCTCCCAGGCAGTGAGGAGCGACCTGGGATCGGTCAGGTGTCGCCCAGAGGTGAAAAGGCCCCGCAGGCCTTGAGCCTGTGCGTGGCCGGCTGTGTGTGTATTGGAGCTGCGCCAGCTCATTCATTACGATTAGGTCCTCTTGGCCTCCGCGTAATAAGTCGTGGCAGATGCTTCTGGGGCAGAATGCAAGTGTACATTTTTTTGTTTTGTTTTGGAGTTTTATAGCGAATAATTTTTTACTCTTCCCTCCCCCGCCACCGTGTGAGTTTTCCTTTTGGCTTGCTTTGGAAAGGGTCTGCGTCTGCCAGACTCGCAGGATGGCTGGTTGCTCTTAAAGCTTGGCAGTGGCGTTCAACGTTGTGTACCTGGGAAGACAAAACATATTTTTTTTAAGCTGAGATGGGATGTCAAGATTAGCACAATCTGATTTCCTTTTCGCACAATCTGACTTCCTTGAGGAAGTCTCACTCGTTGAAGGGTGTGTGACTTCTTTATTTTGTAGGCCTTAGCTGGTAGCAGCATAAACAACATGGCCAGCGTTGCATAGTGGAAAGAGAATGGCTTTTTCTCTGTTGCTTTCTGTGACTGAACAAGTGAACAGCTTGTCTTTGCAAAAATTACCTGCTCTGTGAATGGAAGACATTGTCCACCTAATTACAGCCTGTTATTTTCCTCACAAGGGTGCCGTGAGGAAAATGAGAAGTAGCTGACATATATTGTGTGCTTGCTGTACGCCAGATGCCTTTGGAAGTGCCTTAGGTCTCTAAGTCTATTAGAAACACAATTGGAATGGGCTCCTTTTCTCAGATGTGACATAGTGAAATTGTCACCTTGCTGAGATCCCACAGCTGTATAAGGAGGAACCCAGTAGTTGGGCTCCAGACAGATCTTTTGTCCTAAACACTAAGTGGTTATAGGTAGTAAAACACATCTATAGTATTTACTAGCATGTGAAGATATTAGGTAAATTTTCCTTTTCCTTTCCTTCTGGTCATGTGATGCACAAGCTGAAGCAGACTCAGATTCTACGCAGTAGAAAATACATATCAGTTAGTATGAAATTGGCTGGTTTATTGATGTAGATGGCTCATTTCACTCTGTGGCATCAGGCTGGTGCCAGTATTTAAGAATCCTTGTTCAAACCAGCTCTGACTTGTATTATGATTTTCCCCCAGATAATGATAAATGTCGTTTTTCATAAATTGGGCAATTGGAGTAATCCTTCTATCTGTTCCCCCACCCCCTTCTCTATGGAGAATTTAACCTAGTGTTCTCTGCTTCAGAGGATGAACGCTTTAAACATAATTTATTTAAACGTTTATATTTTCTGAAATGTACTGTTGCTAGTGGTCTCTCAGACAGCCTTCCCTCGCTGTTCCAGTAGCTGCCAACAGGTGCTAAAGTGGCTTGGCTGCCGCTGCAGTCGCCACCTATGTCTTCCAAAGTCAACTGCTTGTGCTGCTTGAAGCCCCAGCTGTTTCCTTTAGCTTTGCCGGCGGCAGCATATAACAACAGCCGACTCTGCTGGTTAGAGGCTCCTGGATTGCCTCCCACATCTCCATCTTCACCCTGGACAACTGTGTAGAAGCTGGGCCCTGTGAAACCTGCTTTAGTCCCCTCTGTCCCAGGATGTAGGGACAAATTCAGGATTTACAACCAACCATGTCATAGCCTGAGGGGCAACTGATGTTCTGTATCGGGGCCCCCATCTGATCAACATAAAGGTCTAGATAAATGCCAGGATTCAGAACTAATGAGTTCCTCAGACTCATACAAATCTAATGTCGCCAACCATTGATCATGCCGTCATCACTTGCATGTCTCTGCGGCCACAGACCTATTTGTATCAAGCTAGCCTGTGTAGTGAGGACAAATACAGCAGCACAACCACTTTTCAGAATGCTTCCTGCAGCTTTCAGGTTCAGATGACTGAACCCAGATGCCTGCTTGGGTCTAAACCTAAATCTGCACACCTTCTGATGAGCATTGTATGTAGCCCCTAAGACTGAAGCCCCAGCAATTATACGCACAAGGACAGAGGGTGTGGGGAGCCCACCAGTCTAAAGACAGCACTGGCAGCGACTGCCCAACTGCGCATACCACCTCAGATGGACCCCTGGTCCCAGGGAACAGCCTGATCCTCAGTGGGCCAAGCCCTATCCAGATATGCTGCAGAGGCAACAAGCACGGGTGACCCCTGGTGCCATGTGTCTCCACCTGAGCTTTGTGTGTTTCTTCGGCCTCCTTATTAGTTTTTCTCCTCCAGCACATTTTTACATTGTGCTTCTTTATTTGAAAAGCACATATAATCCAAACTCATCTTCTGCCTTTGTTTTCTTGTGGAGAAAATAATCGTACTCTTCTAAAAAAAAAAAAAAAACAGTGAATTTTACATATTTTAAAAATATGTTTTCTTTCCTCTAGGCCCTATTTTTAATTGTAATTGTGGAAGGAAATCATAGAAAACTTTTTCCAATTATTTTCCCTATTTTTTCAGTTATATAGTTGTAAACACTCTATGCAAAATCTTGTTTAGTCCTCCTGACACGGAAGTAGGCACTATTTTTATCTCATTTGCCTAAGGGGAAACTGAGCTGCAGAGAAGTTAAGGTTACACAGTCAAGAGTAGAGCCAGGATTTGAACCTGACCTGACCACTTTTGTATCTTCAGTAATATCTACATATTAGTATAATTTCTCACTAACATTCGTGGTAAAGTCTTACACCCTTAAGCTTTGTTGAAAGTTATATTCTTAAATAACGTCTAGAATCTCATGTTTGTTATACAAACACAAGGATGCTTTGCACAGCCTCATATTTTGAACCGCAGAGCTAGAATGGATTTGTTGTTTCGCTGAAGAACTGCTTGGGTGCCTACTAGACACTACACAGAGTTCTAGGTCCTGACGATGCAGCATGGCTGACCTGAGTTCCCAGCACAGAGCCCTTCTTGTTGAGGGAAGAATCAAGTACAGTCCTGTGTCACTTAGCAAGAGAACACGTTTTGGGAAATGTGCAGCCAGGTGATTTTGTTGTGTGACCGTCATAGAAGGCACTTATACCAACCTGGATGGCATGACCTAGGCTGTGTGGTATAGCCTGTTGCACCTAGGCTACAGACCCGGACAGCATGCGACTTTACTGAACACTGCAGACCATTGTGACACAAGGACAAGTATTTGTGTATCTAAACATAGGAAAGGTACAGTGAAAATACAGTATCATGATCTGATGGGACCATGGTCGTATATGTGGTCTGTCATTGCCCAAACCGTCATTATTTGACACGTGCCTGCATATAATAGGCCCAGTGACCGTTTGTTGAGGAATAAAGCAGGATGGAGTCACTCCTTTAAGAGGTGGCCAGGGATGGCCGCTGGCAAGGTGACATTTGAGCTGAGACCCGAGTACAATGAAATTTGGAGAGATCTTAGCGATATCTTAATTTGACACCTTAATTTCGTCGATCTGACAAATTAAGGTCTAGAGAAATTGTAACTTGTTCATTGACGTAGGAATTCAGATTCTCTGCTCTTCTTACCAAAGCTAAACTGTATCTCTTTCAAATGTAGCATTCATCTTGTATTAACTATCTTTATATTCTATACGAACAGCCTAAGATATATTTAATAGTTCTAACATTTGCATTTCTAGTAATTGTTCCAAGAAATACCTTTGTTTTCTTCCTTTGAAAATGTAGTAGTATAGCCAGGCGTGGTGGTGTGCGTCTGTAGTTCCAGCTACTTGGAAGACTGAGGCAGAAGGATCACCTAAACCCAGCAAGTCTAGGCTGCGGTGGCCTTGAGCATACCACTGCACTCCAGCCCGGGCGACAAGAGTGAAACTCCAACTCAAAAAAAAAAACCAAAAAAGAAAGAAAATGTAGTGATAATAAGAACTGTGAGTTTACTTGAGTCTTTTTTTAAAAATAGATTCACTTTTTTGACTGTTCCCGAGTGAGTCTTGTACTTAATGTCTTAATTTTCTTTAGTTTGTTGAGTCAGGATCTCACTCCGTCGCCTAGGCTGGAGTGCAGTGACATGATCATGGCTTACCACAGCCTCAAACTCTGGAGCTCAGGTGATCTTCCTACCTCAACCTCCAAAGTAGCTAGGACTACAAGCACAGGCCACGATGCTAACTTTTTAGCATACCCAGCATTTTTTATTTTTTGTAGAGATGAGGTCTTGCTATATTGCCCAGCCAGGTCTCAAACTCCTGGTCTTAAGCGATCCTCCTACCTTGATCTCCCAAAGTGCTAGGATT